TCGTCGCTGTTACTTGGCACTTTTACTTGGCACTATTAATTAGAACTATTACTTGGCACTATTACTTGGCACTGTTACTTCGCACTATTACTTCGTACTATTACTTGGCACTGTTACTTCGTCACTATTACTCGTCACTGTTACTTGGCACTGTTGGGCGCCCCTCCGTTTACGGCATCGCGCAGCGCTCCGCCGGGCACGTGTTCCCGGGAGGAAAAGGAACACAAGCTCGGCAAGCTCTCTTAATCGTTTGTTCAGCAAGGAACCCGAACCGACCCGAAGTTCAGGCACAACGCGGTTTGAGGCGGGTTCGCGGGCGGTGGGGGTGGGGAGGGAGGGGTGGGTGGGGGGATGGGAGGGTGAGTGCGAGGGCGGGTGTTTGCTTTGGGAAGGGGGGGGGACACCTGGGCGAGAGGGGGGGGGGGAGGAGGGAAGGGAAAGGGGGGGAGAGGAAGGAAGAGATGCGGGAGGAGGAGGAGGGGGAGGAAGGAAAACGGGGCGAAGAGGGGAGAGAAGGGGAGGAGATGCTGAGGGAGAGGAAAAGGAGGAGGAAGGAGGAGGAGGAGGAGGAGGAGAAAGGAGGAGGAGGAGAGGAAGGAAAAGGAGGCGAAGGAGAGGCAAAAGGAGGAGAGGAGGAAAAGTAGGAGGAAGGAAATGGAAGAGAGGATGGAAAGGAAGTAGGAGAGGAGAATGAGATGCGGGAGGAGGAGGAGGAGGAGAGGAAGTGGGAGAAGGATAGGAGAGAGGGAGAGAATGGGGGAGGAGAGGAAGCGTAATACAAAAGAAAAAAAAAATGAAAAGAAAAGGAAAAGACTCGAGAAAAAATATCTCCAAGTGGGAATAAGGAGAGAGCGATAAAAGAGGGAGAGGGGGAGAGGCAAGGAGGAGACGAATCGGGAGATGAAAAGAAAGAAAGGAAGAAAAAGAAATCAAATAGGAAAAAAAGACACAACAAGAAAAAGAAAAAGACCGGGACAGAAAAACATATATATCCCGAAGTGGGAATAAGTAAGAGAGAGCGATAAAAGATAGAGGGAGAGAGAAGAGTCCGCCGCTTTGGCACCAAAAGACGAGCATTTTTTTCCCTCCCGCTCCTGTCGGTTACGTAAGCGTGTTCCCGCGACGCCGCTTCGAGGGCGAGCGGTTGCACTTGTGGGGCCGCCGCTGATGGGACGGGGGTGGGGAGGGGGGAGGGGAGGGGAGGGGATGGGATTCTGGGGTCTGGGGGCTTGCTTGGGGTGTGTGTTTAAGTGTTTTTTTTCCCCTCTAAAGTCTCTTTCTTTCTTCCTTTTCTTTCTTTTCTCAAGTCTCTTTCTTTCTTTCTCCTAAGATCTCTCTTCTCTCTCTCTCTCTCTCTCTCTCTCTCTCTCTCTCTCTCTCTCTCTCTCTCTCTCATCTCTCTCTCTCTCTCTCTCTTCTCTCCTTTCCTCTTTCTCTCTCTTCGTCTTCTCCCCTTTTATCCTCCCTCCCCATCTTACCTGTCTCTCCTTCCACTCTCCTCTCCACTCTACATTTTCCCTCCCTCTCCATTATCCTCCCTTCTCCCGTCCCTTCTCCTGGCTCTCCCCTCCTCTCTCTCTCCCTCCCCATCCCTCTCTTCTCCCCTTCCCCCTCATCCGTCTCCTTGTCCCCTCCTCTCTCCTCTCCCTTCCTCTCCTCTCTCTTCCTCCTCTCCCTCCCCTTTCCCTCCTCCCCTTCTCCCTCCTCCCTCGCTCCCTCCCCCCCAACCCGAGTGTCACCGAGGCATTAACCTCATTCCAGAAGCCCTCTTTCTCTTTCGTCTTTCGATTTGTCGCCAAGATGTTCTTCCCAGATTTCGCCTTCGTCCCGTTTCCGAAACCCGCGGCTTCCTCCCTCCCCTCTTCTCTCCTTGCTTGGGGAGGGGGGAAAAAAAGGAGAGGAGGTAAATAAACCCCTCCAAGGTAGGCTTCGCAGTCCCGGGGCTTCCGGCTGGGGTTTCACGGTGGGCGCTTTGAGCCGTCGGGAAACCCCGGGCTGGAAGCGGCTCAGCGGGGGCTTTGTGGGGCGCTCGGTGTCGGGGTGTTGTCTGACAAAGTACTGGTTGTGCGGGTTGAGTGGTTTGCGTTTTTCTTGGTCTCGAGGGGCGGGGCCCAAGTACGCGGCGCCGCTTTGTTGGTGCTTTGAGGGTGCGGCGGCCGTGGTGGGCTCTTTTCTTCTTCGTTGGGGGTAGGTTCGGTCTTGTGGTGGGTTCGGGTGAGACGGGGGAGGGGGCGGGGGGGGTTAGAGGCGCTCGGGCGGCGGCGGTGTCTTCCTGATGGGGCGTTTTGGGCTGAGGGGAAGGTGGGTCGGTTGGGCTGTAGGGGGAAGGTCAAGAGACAGTCCTGTGGGTGCGTGGGGGCAGGGGGCGCGGGCTGTCTTGAATGTTGGGCGTTTGGGCCTGACTGAAGAGAGGGGGGTGGTGGGAACTGGTGAGTGGCGTGCACACGTAGTTACCTGGGTGAGGGTCTTCTTTCTTGTTTTTTCGTGCTTCTTTGATCTTGAATGGCTGTGGTTTGGTTCTTTTGTTTCTTCCTTTCTCTCCTGCCGTGCATTCCTTGTTTTCTTTGGTGTGTTTCCTCTCCTCTTTGGGACGGGATGGGGATTTTTTTCTTCTACAGGTTGGTGTTGGACCAAGGGGTTATTTGCTTGCTTTCTTGTTCTTTCTTTTTATTTTTTTTACTATAACTTTGTTTCTTTTTTTTTTTTCCTCTTCTTTTTCTTCCTAATCCTTCTCCATTTCCCTTCGTTCTTTCGCTCTCTTCTCCGTTCAACAAATTCCGCTTGGCTTTCTTTGTTCTCCTTCCGCCTCTTTCTCCCCCCTCCTTTTTATCTCGAGTCGCGCTCCTTCTCGCTTTACCGGTTCTGCCCTTCCTCGTTCTTCCTTCTTCGCTCGTGGTCTTTCCTCTTTCTTTCTTTCTTCGCTCTCTGTTGCCCTTCTTCACCCCATTGCTGCTGTCTCTCTCTGCTCTTCTACTTCTTCCTACGCTTTTTTCTCCTTTCTGTCTTCCCTCCCTCCCCTGTGGTCCGCCTCCCTTCCCCGTTTTCTTTCGATTTTTATGTTTCCTTTCCGCGGTCGTGGTTCCTCATCGCCATACGTCTCCTTTTCCTCGCTCCTTGCGCTCTCGTCTCCTTCTTCCTCCTCCGTTCGGCCTCTTCTTCGGCCTGTCGGGGGTTGAACTCCCCGTGCTTCCCTCTCTCCCCTTCCTCTCTCCTCTCTCCTTTCTTCCCTCCTTCTGCTCTGCCTCTATTATCATTCACTCCCACTCCTACACCGATTCTCCCTTTGGACATTGTACTTCCTCCCATCCCGTCTCAATCTTCATTCGTCTCCCTTCTCGTCACTCCTGTCCTTCCTCTTCGTTACTTCACTGTTCTGTCTTCCCCTCGATCGTATCATTTTTCTTTTCTTCCCAGATCCTTCCCCTGCTCCGTCTCACGGTTTTGCTCTCTCTTTTTGTCTTCCCCGGTTGCTGTGTAGATCTGTCTTCTTCTCCTGTTCTCCCCTCCCCCTCTCTCTCCCTCTTCTCCCTGCTCCTCTCTTATCCCTCGTAGCCTCCCACTCCCTTCTTCCCTCTCTCTGCTCCTAGTCCTTCCCCTTCTCCTGCCTTCTGCCTTCCTCCATTTCCTCCCTCCTTTTCCTCTATCTCCTCTCGGCCCTCTCCCTCCTTCCTCTCTTTCTCTCTATTGTGCCCTCCTTCCTCCTCTTCCTTCCCTTTTCATACCCTCTCTCCCTCTCTTTCCTCTCTCATCGACTCCGCTCGTTCCCCCTTCTTCGCCTCCGTACCGTCGCTTCTCGGATCTTCTCGTCTCCTCTCTCTCTCCCTCCCCTCGCTAATTGTGACGCCTCCCAATCGCTTCCGGTCAGTACTCTCCTTCCCTATCCTCTCCTCCCTTTCGAAGACTCTTCGCTTCCATCCCTCGCTCTCTTCACCGTCTGACTCTTCTCCCTGCCTCCTCCCTCCCAAGCATCTTACACCCCTCCTTCTTAGTACTCGTCCGATCTCACCGTCCCTGGTCGCTTTGCGCCTCTCCCCTTTCTCATATTCCTCCTTACCATCCCTCCCTCCCTCTCGGCTTCCTCGCCCCTCGCCCTCCTGCTCCTCTTCTCCTTCAGTCTCCTCCTCGCCGTCCGTCCTTCCTCTCCTTCCTAGGAGTCTCCCTGTTAGTCTTCATTGCCCGTCCCTCCCTCGCCTCTTCCACTGTCCCTCCATTCGTGATCCCGTCGCCTTGACGACCTCGTTACGACTCAGTTACGAGGGACGAGGGGATCTAGAGTTGAGAAAATGTAGAAGAAGGATGAATGAAACGAGACCGAATATCTCCGGCAATTAAAAACAGATGTATTTGGACCGCTGTTTTTTTTCGCACTATATCTTCGTCAGGAAAATACATGATTGTATTCCTGAGAGGCTGTTCGCGGTCAAGACAAAAAAAAAAAAAAAAAAAAAAAAAATAAAAAAAAAAAAAAAAATACATCACATGTATGGCGAGGGAGCAGAAACGGAGAAGAAGACAGAGGAATTGTCGTCCTCTGGCTCCTCTTCGTCTCTCTCGTCGTCCTTGGCGAGTTGTTAGTGTGGATTTATCGGCCCAGAGGGAAGTTGTGTATGGAGAGTGACACGCTGACTGTGACATGGGGTGGGGGGTGACCGCTGACTGTTGGTATAGGGTGGGAGGGTGAAGCTGACTGGTGAACATAGGATGGAGGGTGACACGGCTGATGGTAGGTGATGAGGGTGAAGGGTGACACGCTGACTGTGACATTTAGGGTGGGAGAGGTGACACGCTGGATGGAGCATAGGGTTGGAGGGTGACACGGGCGACTGACTGTGAATGGGTGGAGGATTGACAACGCGACTGCTGAATAGGGTGGAGGGTGACCTGCTGACTGTGACCGTATGGGTTGGAAGGGGCTGACACGCTGAACTGTGGCATAGGGTGGAGGGTGACTCACGCTGACTGTGATAGTAGGATGGGGTGACACGTGATCCATCGCGGTGTCAGTGGGCGCTCCCGGCCTGTCTGGATCGTGGTAAGGGTGGGGGTGACCGCTGACTTGTGAATAGGGTGGAGGGTTCGACGGACGCTGACTGTGAATAGGGGTGGAGGGTGACACGCTGACTGTGGCATAGGGTGGGGTGACACGCTGACTGGTGAACATAGGGGTGGAGGGGTGACAACACGCTGACTGTGGCTATAGGGGTGACGGGTGCACAGCTGACTGTGACAATAGGCGTGGCAGGGTGACACGGGTGGGTCTGACTGTGACATAGGGTGGAGGGTGACACGGCTGACTGTGAATCGGGGTGGAGGATGACGCGGACTGTGACATAGGGTGGAGGTGACTGATGTGACATAGGGTGGGGGTGAACGACTGCCTGTGGCAATGGGTGGGGTGACACGCTGCACTGTGACATAGGATGGCGGGTGACCGACTGACTGTGGTATGGGTGGAGGGTGACCCGCTGAGACTGTGACATAGGGTGGAGGTTGAACACGCTGACTGTGACACTAGGGTGGAGGGTGACACGCTGATGTGGCATAGGTGAGGGGTGACACGCTGACTGGGTTGAACAATAGGTGGAAGGGTGACATCGGCTGACATGTGGGTATATGGTGAGCGGTGACACGACTGAATCTGTGGGCATCAGGGTTGGAGGGTGACAGCGCGGGTGGACTGTGCAGATATGGTGGCAGGTGACACGGCTGACTGTGGATAGGGTGGAGGTGCAACCTGACTGTGGTTATAGATGGGGGTGACACCTGACTGTGACATAAGGGTGGACGGGTGACATCGCATGACTGGTGACATAAGGGTAGGTAGGGTGACAACGAGACGGCTGATGTGAATAGGGTGGGGACATGACATCGCGCGCACTGTGACATAGGGATGGAGCGGTGACACGTCTGAACTGTGACATATGCGTGGGAGGGGTGAAGACGCTGACCTGTGGCTATAGGGTGGAGGTGACACGGCTGACTGTGACATAGGAATGAGGGTGACACGCTGACCTGTGGTATGGTGGAGGGGACAGCGCTGACTGTGCAGTAGGTGGAAGGGTTGTAGCACGTGATACTGTTACTGACTGTGCATAGGGAAAGGGTCGCCGGCGAAGCGTTCTGGCTGGTGGCATAGGGTCGCGAGGGTGACCGCGCATGATAGCTGGTGACGATAGGGTGGAGGGGTGACACGCGTGACTGGTGGTATTAGCAGTAATTAGCAGAGGGTGGAGGGTGACACGCTGACTGTGGCATAGGGTGGAGGGTGACACGCTGACTGGCTGCATAGGCAGAGGGGAGTCAAGTGAGTTAGGGGTGAGGGTGACACGGCCTGACTTGTGGCACTAGGGGGGGGTGACACCTGACTGTGGTATAGGGTGGCAGCGGTGAACACTCTGACTGAGACATCGGTGGAGGGTGACGGCCCTCGAAACTGTGACTATAGGTAGGAGGGGTGGACCGCTGACTGTGAATAGGTGGCGGACGGGTGGCACGCGCTGACTGTGACATTAGAGATGTGGAGGTGACACGCTGGACTTGACAAGTCAGGGTGAACGGTGACACGACACGACGTGACATAGGGTGGGGAGCGGTGACACTGCTGACTGTGACAGTAGGGTGGGGGTGACACCGCACTGACTGTGACATAGGGTGGAGGTGACGCTGACCTGGTCGACATAGGGTGGAGGGTGCACCTGACTGTGACAAGTACGTAGGGTGGACGGGTGAAAACCTGACTGTGACATAGGGTGGAGGTGACATCCGGCTGACTGTGACATAATGGGTGGAGGGTGACACGCTGACTGTGGCAATCACTCACGGGTGAAGGTGACACGGCTGAATGTGACATAGGGGGTGGAAGGGTGGATCACGCCGTACTTGTGACATAGGGTTGGAGGGTGACACGCTGACTGTGGTATACGTGAATGGGGTTTGGAGGTGATCACGCTGACATGAGACACTACGGTGAGGGTGAACACGCCTGACTGTGGGACATAGGGTGGCAGGGATAGACCACATACTGACTGTGACACTTTAGGTGGAGGTGGTGACGTCATACTGATGGACAAACTTCATGACATGCAGCCGCTTCTGGGTGGCATGGGTGGACACGGACTGAGCGTGACATAGGGTGAAGGGTGACAACGCCTGATGTGCCTAGGGGTGGAGGGTGACACCGCTTGACTGTGACACTAGGGTGGAGGGTGACACGCTGACTGATGACATAGTGGTGCGAGGATGACATTGGTGACACGACTGTGACATTAGGGTGGAGGGTGACACGCTGACTGTGTGGAGGGTGAACACGCTGACTGTGACATATGGTGACTGACGGGTGGAGGGTGACACGCCGCGTGCATAGGTGAGGGTGACACGCTGACTGGGTGATAGGTGGAGGCTGAAACTGACGCTGACTGAGACATAGGGTGGAGGGTGACACGCTGACTGTGACATCGGGTGGAGGGTGACACGCTGACTGTGACTGGAGGGGTGCACTGACTGTTAGGGTGGAGGGTGACACGCTGACTGTGAAGTAGGGTAGGGTGACACGTGATGTGACATGTGGGTGACACGCTGACTGTGACACTAGGGTGGGGGTGACACGCTGACTGTGAGACATAGGGTGGAGGGTGGACACTGACTGACTGTGACATAGGGTGGAGGGTGACACGCTGACTGTGACATAGGGTGGAGGGTGACACGCTGACTGTGGACATAATGGGTGAGGGTGACACGCTGACTGTGACATAGGGTGGAGGGTGACACGCGACTGTGACAT